GGAAGGAGCCGCCGGAGAAGCGATGCAGGAAGGTGAGCGGCCACGGGGCGGTGGGAAGAGTGACCGTGCGACCCCTGTGGCACTTGGGAGAGCACCCAGAAGAGCCTCGTGGCATCCTCGTGGCACCCATCCACCCATCCATCCGTCCTTTCGTCCATGCCCTCTGCACAGAGCATCCCTGTTCCTCCAAACTTCCCTTCCTGCTAGGATGGATGCCACTCTTGTAGCCCAGCGAGCCCTGGGCTGTGCTTGCTGCATTGTTTCCACCTCCACACCCTGTTTCTCCACAGCCATTACCATCACTGAGCAACCAGTCTCCATCTCTGTCCCAGTGGGATACTCCTTCACACTGCGGTGCCGAGCCGAGGGAAGCACCTTGCTGCAGTACCAGTGGTTTTGTCAGCACCAGGTGAGGGTGGGAGCGTGTGTCCCTGGGTATGGCACCAGGTTGGGTCCCTGCACACAGTGGGGGAGCTGAAGGAAGGGAGGAAATTAGGAATTTCCACTTTCGCTGCTCTTACAAGGGGCTTCCTAGTGCCTGCTGCTGCCAGCAGTGAGGAGGGAATCACTGCCCACTGCCTGTGTTTTCCCTTTAGTCTGACTGCCACCAGATTCCTGGAGCAACCAACCCAGACTTGCCCATTATTGCAGAGCAGACCCAGCTCTACACCTGCAGAGTCAATGACCTCTACAGAAATGCTGTCTTCTCTGACTGGGTGAAGGTGGAGGTCCATCAGTGTGTCGCCAGAGGTACAAGCATGTCTTCTACCTTCTTGATGTGTCATGGAATCACAGAATGGTTTGGGTTGGAAGGGACGTTAAAGCTCATCTCGTTCCAACACCCCTACCATGGGCAGGGACACCTTCCACTAGACCAGGTTGGCTCAAGCTCCATCCAACCTGGCATGTACCTACACCTCCTGCTGATCACTCACTGTGGGTTTTCTAGGGCTATTTGGGGTGCTGGGACTAGAAGAGTCCATCTGGTTACTTCAAAGCTGACCAAAAATAACTCAGGGTGTGGTTGACCTCAGCATGTTGACTGCACCCTTGGCAGGAAAGGGCAAGGGTCAGGGTTGGGAAGCCAGAGGCAGGGCTGTGGTCTGGCATTGGCTATTGCAGGTGTTGCTCCCAAGCATTCCTTGCTCCCAAAGCAGAAAGGTGCAGTGGTGACGGTGAAAAATGGCCGTTGTTTGCTGTCCTCGTGAAGGGAGAACCAATTCCATGTCGCTGCTTTGCAGGTTTGCCCCCTCGGCTGTGGCGAGGAGAGCCCGTCATCATCCTCAACCCCATGGAGCAGAGGGTGGAGGTGGGGAAGCCACTGCAGCTGCAGTGTGCTGCCATGGGGGTCCCAGCCCCCTGCTACCAGTGGTACCGGAATGGGAACCTGCTGGAACAGCACAAGAGAAAAAAACTCTGGGTAAGGTTGCCTGGGGATAGTTCAGAAGCTTTGGCTGCTGAGGCGGGTGATGGGAGAAGCTGGTTGCAGGGTTGTGGGAAAGTCCTCTGTGCACTTCTGACAGGGAAGTTCAGGCTGGGCACTAGGAAGAGGTTGTTCATTTGGAGGTGAATGGTGCTACACTGGAGCCAGAAAGACCGTGAGGTCTCTGTCCTTGGAGATGTTCAGGGCTGGAATAGACAGAACTATGGCCAACCTGACTCAGTGGTGGCTTTAGTCCCTCTCTGAGCAGGATCCTGGGCTGGAGAACCAGAGTCCTTGTCAGCCAGTACTGCTCTGGTTCTTGTCCCTGTCCTGATTCTTTGTGAGGCAAAGTCTCAGTGAATAGCAGGAAAAGTACTCTATTCCAGGAACACGGGTGCCTTCAGCAGATCCTGGCGGGGAGCTGCAGACTTTCACCATAAATAATGTGGTTTAACTTTTGATCTGTCTAGATCACCCATGCCAAGGTCAGTGACTCGGGCACGTACCTCTGCTGTGCCTCCAACAGTCATGGAGAGCACTGGACCAACGCTGTGGACGTTCACGTAGGTGAGCAGAGCCAACCCCCGTTGCTTTGCTGCACATCACCTGGAGAGAGAAGTAATTAGAGGGTACAGTGGAATTTAATGCTCTCGTCTGGAAGCACCAAGCTGGTGAATGAGGGCTGTGATAAATAGGATTCCTTGGTATCAGGGCTCAGAGGGAGCGAAGGAAGCGGTATTTGGAAAAGAGAACCCCGTGGACCTGCTGATGCACTGTCTGGTGGGGTGGGATGCTGGGTTCTGCAGTCTGCCAGAAACCTGCTGTGTTAGGGCAGGCTCGGTGCTCTCAGCTGCTCCCTGTGGTTTTCCTGCCTTGCCAAGGTGCTGATTTCACAGTTCCACAGCCAAATCGCAGTGGGCTCTTGTGCCCAAACTCATTTCCAGCCTCACTGGGATGAAGTGATGCGCTCAGACACAGAGAGCCGGAGAGGATGGGGTTTATTTTGGGAAGGTTCAGGCCCCTCGGGCTGGCAGCTGAGGGCTGATGCTGCATGAGTGACAGATCCCAGGGATAAGATGTGTCCCCAGAGCCTCAGGCATGCTCCACCTCTCCCTTGGCCCCCTGCCTTTGCTCTGTGTGAAGCAGGAATACCACAAGTTGGCTTGGCTGGCTCTTTACTCCATCTAGAGATTTTTCTATGCCGTAAGCTTCTCATCCTGCCTTTTAAGCTGGCTTTAAAATTTCTCCAAAGTGCAAATTGATCCTGTATATCCAGAGAGCAATCTGCCTGCCTCCTCACAGCTGGCAAAACTGCATCCAGGGGGGACAGGCAGCAAGAAAAGGACACCAGATTGGGTTGGGTTCAAAGCATTACAGCTACGGAGCTTAACGTGCAACGGGCGCCTCTGTCAGAGGCAGAAAAGGATGAATGGTTTTGTTCTGAACTTTCCAGGCATCCCTGGTGCCTCAGCAACACTGGTTCAGGGGCCAGAGGTCTTCCAGACCCATGAGATGTATGAAATTTATCTTTAATTTCTTCTTTTAGAACCTGTAAGGTTTTAGAATTTTCTCCTGGAATGACTTTTGAAATTAATTTCTAATTTAAATAGGAAAAGCTGGAGCTGTTTGACTAACAATTTTAAGAAGCTGGAGGTGCTTGGGCAGGGAAGCTTGTGGGGCTCACCAAAGTGAGTCACATTTGGGGGGGCTTTTCTGAGCCAGAACTGCTAAAAAGCAGGGAAAGTCAGAGAAGGGAGATGAACAACTCGGGGAATATTATCACAATCAAAAGCAAATGGTGGCTCCCTCTGCACCAGATGTCTATGGGGAGAAACTCTGTTTTGGAGCTTTTATTGACCTTGAGTCGTTGTGTTACCTTTGCTTTTGCTGCAGTGAGGGAGAAGGTGAGTCGCATCAGGAAGCCCACATATGAGCTCCTCCGTGCTGACCCTCCTTCCCTGACCTGCCCCTTTTCCAGTCTTTGCTTCCCAGATGCTCAGGATGTCCTAAATCAGGCAGGATTTCATGAAGACTGGTGTGTTTAAGGTTAGCAGTCAGGCTGTGAAGAAGTTGCCCCAGGAGCGTTGCTTATACAGATCCTCTATGTGTTTGATCCAGCTGTGCATTGCTGGGAATGTTGGAGCAGGATTCAGACCTGGCACTGGATGCTGGGCACAGGCTTATCATTTCCCTCTTTCTTTCCCAGGTACATGTGGCTCTGAAAAGTTTTTTGGTGAGTACTGTCATCTTTTCTTCCTGAGCACTTATTATCTTAATTCAAAGCCAGGCTCCAGAGTGGATGGGAAGACAGGGAGTGGGAGTTCTTTTCCTGCAGAGACCACTTCAAGCCTTTATGCCCACATTGCAACAGGCTCTCTGCTTTTGAGATCAGAGCTGCATGGCACAAGATGAGTCCCATCCCCTGCCAAGCCCTGATCTTTCTCAGCAAGTGGAGTAATATTATTCCTAATGAGTAACTGAGTCTTGAGCTCTGGGGCTGCCAAATGGGTTTAAAGATGTTGTTCACATGACACCTTTTCCCTTCCTTGAAATACCTCCTCAGAGCAGGGCAAAGCTCCTCACTCCCACCACTGCTGAGTGACATAAATCCTTTTTTTTTACAGTGGGGAGGTGGGGATAAAATCAAAGCAGGACCCCAGGGTTTCTCTATTTCAGCCCTGTGAGGGAAAGGACTCCTTAGCCTGGCTCAGTGCATCCCCCTCCCTCTCACTGCTGGCACACCAGGCCCACGGTCACGGTAGGGCAGGTAGAGCAGAACCTCCTGCACTCCTGAGATTTTGGCTGTCAAGTGTAAACTTCTCAACCCTTTCTGTCAAAATGATTGTGTATTTTGTTGAAGTGTTCAGAAAGCCGAGGGCTTTCCAGAGGGTGCTCGAGGCTTGCAGCAGCCTAGGGTCTATCCTGCCTGCCTAAATTTTTTGTTAGATTTCCTGAATCCTCACTGCAACAGAGAAGGTGAGACTTTGCCTCCCACTGAGCGTTTACAGCTTTGTCACCTGATGTTTGTTTCAGCTACAGGCAAAATAGCACTTTTAGTGGGCAACAACCGCTACCAGCATCATCCCAACCTCATGGCTCCTGTCAAGGATGTGTTTGAGCTGAGTCGTCTTCTGGAACAGCTGGGCTTCCAGGTTGTCTCCCTCCTGGATCTGAACAAGGCTGAGATGGCAACAGCGGTCAGTCAGTTCCTGCAGCTCCTGGAAAAGGGAGTCTATGGTAAGACCAAGCCAGCCCAGCCACTTGCCCATGCTGAGCAGGGATTTGGCAATTTTCTGAACAGCTGTTGAATTGAAAAAGAAGAAACTGAACTTTCCTCTCTCAAGGGAGACCTGCAGCACAGTCTGCAGTGGTGCCAGGCTTGGCAGAAGCCCCTGGATAAGTGTTGTTCAGTTTTGGGCAGGTTACAGCCAGCAAAGGCAGTGTTTCTCCATCACGTGGCAGCCTCCAGCCCCAACAGCATGGGCTCACGCTGAGTTTTTGGGGAGCCAGTGCTTCTGATGGTGAATGGGAAAAGGGGTTTTCATTTTTCTGTAGATAACAGAATAGAGGAGAATGTGTGGGGTAGGGGAGCTCCTTTTGAGCCCTGACTGCTGCATCTGGCTATGATTTCCTTGTTTCTCTTTCCTGAAGGTCTAATTTGGGCCCCTGACAGCCCTTTTGCAGAAGAGCACTGCCAGCTGCAGATGGCTTTGAGGTTGGGCTTTGAGCTTATTGCGCACTGTTCTCAGTGGGAAGTGATCCTCAAACACAAACCCAACCAGCAGATCTTGTGGGTCTTAAAGCAGGTGTTCAGATTTGGTGGGTAAAGCAGCACCTTTGGGGTCCCTGAGTTCTCCCAGCCCGACAGATACCCTGAAAATACCTTGCCAGGTGGGCTTTTTTTGCTTCCAAACCTCAGTGTGAGGCTTATCTCCCAGCTGTGCAGCACCCAGACAGTGAAAGTCAGCATGGGCTGATTCCAGCCTGGCACTCAGCAGGAGGTTTGGAGGTTGTGCAATGGATAATAGGGACATGGCCACGAGGGAAATGCTGTGCAGCCACCTTATTCCGGGAAGCACTGACTCACCGGGGAGGCTGAGCTGGTGGGAAGGGCTGCACACGGCTGTGGCATCACCTGGTGACAGTGTATTCCTATGACTTCATTTGCAGCTTCCTTTTGTGGTTGCTCTCTGAAATCCCCTTGTATCTCAGGCTTTACCTGGAGGTTACACCTCCTGTGTAGCAATCACCATAGCTGAAATCAGGAGAGCTTTGTGTGGACATACAGAGGGAGGAGAGGGCTGATTGCTGAACATGAGCCTCCATGGGTTGGTGCTCACTGCCCCGTGTTGTATGATCCATGCTGACGAGGGGAGTAAGGCTTTATGGTCTCTGTAACTGCCCCTCCAGGAGCTGTAGGCTGTCGTGAGACCTTCTTCCACTTCCACAACTCTAGACCAGACCAGCACCTTCCCCCCCTCCTCCCAGGCCTTGGGCCTGAAGTGTTCAGAAAGTGAGTGGATGTGGCACTGCATGATATGGTTTAGTGGAAATGGTGGGATTCAGTCCAAGGTTGCACTTGATGATCTTGCAGGTCTTTTCCAGGCTTAGTGATTTTATGTACCAAAGGCTTCTCCAATTCACAGTATGGAGGTGGTGGGTCATTGGGCTGCTTTTCCTCCAGATCTCTTAGAAAAGCTGCAGAGGATTTTTGAAGGCCCCAGGCATCCTCTGGGTGATCTAAATCATTCTCTCCTCAGGTGAATCCCCCAGGATGTTATTTTGAGTGTCCTAAAAAGTCCTGAGTCAAAAAAATTGCATTGGAAATGCAACGAGAGCAGAAAGTTGTGAGTGAAATACTTGGAATATGGAGTCATGCCTTAATTAAGCCTCATGCTGACATTTCCTGCATTATGAGCAGTGCCTGGAGCTTCCCCTTTTTAATTTGGTACTCGGAAGTTTGTCTGTGATCAGCAGTTCTGACTCACACGACGTGGGAAGAGCTCAGAATAAAAAAGCCCTTTCCTTCTCTGAGCAAATTGTTGACTTTCCTGTTCAGGAGAGAAATTATGTCCAGAAGAGGCTGGAAAAGTTGCTCAGCTGTTGTGAAACATGTCTTTTTGAATTTGAACACCAGTCTTTGGGATTTATATAGTGTGGGGAGCACCTGGTGGTGCATTCAGGTGCACAAGACCTCAAAAGTTAAAAAATTTAAGGATTGAATCATTCTTTGTGGGCTTTTCTGTAGCATTTAATTTTTTTTCCAAGCATCAGTGATGCTGCCTGATGATAGATGTCATCACTTCCTTGCATGAACAGGGGCAGAGGCATGAAAGGCACCAGTACGTGATGACTTGAGGGGCCCAACCTGTAATGCCTGCATCTAATTTTTCCAGAAGGCTTCCAGTTTTATACTCTTTTCTAGTTTCAGGGGAGGGTTTTGTGGCTTTGATTTGCAAGTTACAAAAGCTCAGAGCTTCTGCAGGTCAGAGCCCGCCGTATCTGGCTGGCAATCCACAAGAAGAGGAACCCAAATCTTGTGGGCATCTGTGGAAACAGCCATTTGAGAAACTTTCCATTGTCCCCTGAGAATAGAAACCAAAGGTGACTCGAGGCCTCTTTGACTATGAGATCATGTTTTCCATCTTCCACACGATGAGGTCATGCTTTTAGTCCTTCAGCTCTTGCCCCTGTCACCACATCCCTTGCAGAATCAGAGATCAAGGCGAGTGTCCTGCCAAGTCCAGGGGCAGGAACAGTGGAGGGAATACAGAGGAGAGGTTACTCGCTCAAGTGTGGGCTTTGGCAGTGAGTCTGACTGAAGAATTTCTCCTGCTGTTGCCTTTTAGCTGCTTGTTCCCATTTCTGATCTCTCACTTTTCACCATCCCTCCATTGTGGTAGCACAACTGTGTCACCTCACAGAGCTATTTTTAACCCATTTCAGTTCCCCAAGTTGGCTTTCATCAATCAGCAATCCCCAAGCAGTGTCATCAGCGCTGGGGAGGGGTGAGCAGCCACTGTGCAATTTCCTTTAGGGAAGCTTCAGCCCACGTAGGAAAGCCCTGCACGGGACACGGGTCAGAGGGGAGCACCAGCTTGGGCCATGCTGAGCTCCCCAGTGCTTTCCACCTGAAAGTCCCTGTATTACCATCTCTTGTGAAGGCAGAAAACATTACTAAGTTCCACGTGCATAAGAGTAAAATCCAAAATTCTTGTTGAGTATTGGACTTCCCACCAGCACCTGGATGGGTCTGACTCTTCCTTCCTTACACGTCTTCCTGTCTGGTCTGAGGTTGTTGAAGCGTGTGGTCCATGTGTTCTGGACGTCTGGAGAACTCTCTGTCTCTCCATCTCTGTCTAATTTTTCACCAGTTTATAGGTGTATAAATACAGGCAGACCTTTGAAATCTGGAGAGTGTTTTTCATCACCTAATCAGTTGTAAATCTCTTCTCCAAAACTAGGAAGCTTCTTTTAAATGATAAGCTTCTCATTTAAAAGACTGTTAATGTAAAATCCTGTGGTAAAATCTTTTTCTGTTGTCATTTTTCCTTTAAAGACCTGAGGATTAACCCAAACTTTGTACAAAGGTGGAATTCAGCCTGGCAGGTGCTGAGCCTGGGTGTTGTAGCACAGAGGGCTTGGAAATATGTAAACCCAGTGACTTCAGGTGACAAACAGTGTGGGAATCCACAAGCACAAGGGAACCTCTCAGGGCTGCTTCTGACTCTACAGAAGGGATAAAGGGATAAAGAAGGGATAAACTGGAAAAAAGTCAAAACTGTGAGGTCAGTGTAGCTGCAGTTCCATAGGTGCTGCTGGTCTAGGTCTGCCCTGCTCCAGTATCCCATCAGAACAGGAGGTGGGATGTGGCCATGGAGAACTGGTTACAGACCTGCAGGTTGGCATCCTGATTCATTCTCTCCTCTCCCTGTTCCCAGCTGTATTCTACTATGCCGGGCATGGGTACGAACATCTGGGGAGGAACTACATGGTCCCTGTTGATGCCCCCCAGCCCTACTCCCCTGAGAACTGCATCAGCGTGCAGAGGATCCTCCAGAAGATGCAGCAGCAGCAGACAGCCCTGAACATCATCTTGCTGGACACCTGCAGGAAGTGGTAGGGTGCTCTTCCCCCTTCCTCACCTCGGATGGGTATTCTGAGGGGCCAGGGAAGGGTGTCCAGCCTCAGCTCTGGGCTTCAACTCCCCCTGTGGGGTGTTCCCGTAGATTGCTGGGGCCACGTCCCCCGTGGTGCTGCTCCATCAAAGGTTATTGATTGTGTGTCATAAAACAGCAGCACTTTTAGGTCCTGCAGGATGTTCTGGAAAGATGGGTCGTTCACATATTAGTGCAGAGAGCATCAAATGTTGTCTGAGATCTGCTGGAGAGAAGGGGCTTGAAAAATCCTTGGATTTTTTGAGGTGAAGAAGCCTGGCAAATACAAGCAGGTTGCCTCAAGCCCATGGAGCAATGGCTGTGTCTGGCATAAATTGTTGGCTGAAACTCAGCACAGGCTTTGTCTTTTATATTTCAAGCCTGACCCACCTAACCTTGTCTTGCTGATCATGTGCTTTCCTGGTCCATGTTTCCCAAGTGCTCAGGCTGGGAGTGTTCAACTCACCTCTCTTCTCCTGGCTGCATTCTTGTTAACATCTCAGTGAGAAGAGTGCAGCATGATGGGGAAAATATTTCAAGCCCTGCTACTTGCTTTTTACTGGCCTTAAATCCTTCTGAAGTGGTTGTGTTGTGAAGCAGCTGCTGCTGAGGTCAGAGATCAGCGTTTTCCCACTGTCTGTGGAAAGCCTATCATCCTCTCTTGGCCTGCAGACCTCTATCCTGCTGCAGAAAATTACTACTTGTCCAATTTCAGCAGAGGTGGGTGGACTGTTGCAGTAGAAGCTGTCATTAGTTCATTTATTTCAGTCTCCTGAGGCAGATTTACAGGTCAGAAAAGACCTGGAGAGCAAATGCAGGAAAGTCTCTCTCTTCCTGCTGTGGTTCCTGTGCTAAGAACCGGAAAGACGACAGGGATTTTGATACCCTGAAAGAGCTGCCAGCCCTTGGAGAGAGGATAAATCTTTGATGCCTTGTAGCTGCAGAGGTGAGGATGCTCACTTTGAATAGCTTCAAGCTGGCTGTGCAGAGACTTATCCTGCAGCTCTGAATTGCCAATGTCACCAGATCTTAATGTGCCTTGATCCTGCCCTGAGCTCCCCAGAGTGAAGCATCCCCTTTCTCCCTTCTTGCTCTCTGCTGAAAGCAGTGTGTGTTACTTCCCTGGCACACCTGGCAGCATCTTCCTGCTCTCCCCAGCAGGATAACAGGCAGAGGATGGCATGCAGCCGAGCAGGAACACCTGGCTCTCACGGATACACCGCTGGAGCTGCACCTCTGGGCTGCTGTCCAACGGCAGTGCATGATGGGGAGGTGACATGGAGGCTGCACAGGGAGCACCAACACAAATGTTAACAGTCTATAAAACAGCTTTTGAGCTGCTGTCTGCCTTTGAGCTGCTGTCTCCTTCCTTGGCGTTCCTGTGCTCAGTGAAGTCTCAATGGGCTCTGAGAAGAGAGTGCAATGTGAGATCTGCTGGGATGTTTAGGCAAGGTTGTGCAGCTGTTTTTCTCTCTCCTCCCCTAAAGCTCACACCTCCCCTTTTCCACAACAAGCACAGCACTTCACGCAGTGGGTGTTATCCCTGATTTTGTGGGGGACTGCTGTAGAAACTCTCTCCTGAGCTCCTTTATTTTGAGAAGTCACCATTTTAGCTTGGGAAAGCGTCTGGATTTCATAGCTGTATGTGTTTACAACACTGTGTAAAATGAGGCTGCCAGGGTCTCCTTTCCCAAGGCCCTTGGGTCTGGGAAAGGACTGATGCTGCAGGTCTGTCAACAGCTTGTGCACAAACCAGGAGGGGCTGTGTCTGTGCTGAGAAGGAGCTCACCCAGAGCATCTCCTCACCCCATATGTTGGCATCAGAAATGCCAGGGTGGTGAGAAACACAGCCTCCTTTGCCAAGTGGGAGCAGATGTTCAGCTTTAGCAGAGGAGGAACCAGGAACATGGAGCCTGTGTGTAGCCTCATACATTTATGTGCTGATTTTGGGCGGATGCGATTGCCTCTTCCAGGAATTCTCTGATTTATCCTTGGACCCGGAATGCCAGATTTCTGCATTAATTTAGGAGCAGCTGAGGAGCAGATAAATCTCAGTATTCATATCTAGAAGCGTATCTCCTTTCCCACATTTTCTCTTCTGATCATCTTTAAGACAACTTACAGAAGCCAATTGAATCGTACCATGAAATATCTCCAGACTGTGCCACCAGTAGTAGGTGACACTGGCTGCTGGTGATACAGCCATCCCTTCTGCTCTCCTTAGTGTGCCAGCTTCAGCCCCAGGAAGCAGTACTGGAGTTGAATAATGTGGAGTAACGCTGCCTCTGTGCCTGGCTCTTGTCACTATGTGACTGGGAACAGCTCCATGTCAGTGGTGTGAACTGGAGGCAGCCTGTCCCTATGCAGTCAGATGGGCAAGGCTTGACCATTCAGTGCAACCATGAGATCTTTTTTGGTGAAAACCAGGCCTGTCACCATGGTTCTACCTGATTTTGGAAATAACAGGAGCTGTTCTCATTCAGCTGTATCTAGACCAGGGTGTCGGGGCCAGTTTTGGGCTTCAAGACCCAGGTGTGTGTCTCCTGATCCCGTCTCTCGGTGAGATCTGAGGGTGTATGAACCATAACCTGCTTTGGTTCCCCAAGGCAGAAGTGTGTGTGTGGTCTGGAGGGGCCCTGTGGGGTGCCCCAGACCCCAGCACAGGCAGTTGAGCCGTAACCATGTGTTGTGCACACTTCTGATTTCCACAGGGACAGTTGTCCACTGGGCCACAGTGACCCCGTGTGTTCTCTGCACTTTGTTGCTGCCTGGAGTTGTTAAAATCCAGCCTCGGGAGAGAGGAGGGAAGGTTGTCCCCACAGCTCCAGGCTCAGTGTGGGGCAGGGAGCAGCTCACCCGTGCAGATAGGTCACAGCTGGTCCTATCTACTCATTTCCCTGTGGTTTGGGTTCTTGGTGGGACTCCCAGCTTTCGTCTCTGTGGTTGGATCTGAGGTGAGGGTTGATGCTATTGCCATCCCTGGGAGATGGATGTGGGAGAGCGTGTGGGCTTTGTCCCCTCCAGCTGACAGATGTCCTCAACACTGACTCGTGCCTTTTCTTTCTCTTCCAGGTACAACCCAGGACGTGCCCTCTCCCAGGTGCAGCCGCTGGAGCCCTGGGGAAATACTGTCTATGGCTATGCCACGTAAGTGCACTTTGCTGTCCCCACGCTGGCACACAGGACCAGATGCTGGCACAGCCGTACCCACTCTCATCCTTTCATGCACGGTGGCTTTGGAGGCTGGAGAGGGCTTCACTATGTTTCCTCTGGCTCTCGCCTTCCAAGTGCTGCATTTACTGTTCAGGCGCTTCTGTCCTTTCTCCTGCTATCCCTCAGGGCAGCCTGTGCTTGTGCATAAAGGTGACCTCAGCTACTGTCACTTGTCCTTCAGGCCTGAGCCTGATTCCCTAGGTTTATGTGCCATGAACAGCCCACCTGAAGCCTCCTGAGATGATGGGTGTTGTTTACTGCTCCAGTGCCAGCTTTTCTGGCTTTTCACCTTCTGTCACCTGCCTAGGCTGGAGACTGTGCTTTTCTATCCTATCCCCTTCCATTGCTTTTTCCCATCCTGTGCCCTTCCCACCATCTCCTGGGCCAAACCCAAGCACTTTGTGTTATTCCTTGAGAAGCAAACTCAGACTCAGCCAAAAGAGTCTGGATGGAGTTGGCAAGCCCAGACTCACCCTCAGGACTTTGTGCCTGGTGCAGAAATGTGAGGTCTCTGAAGAAATGTTCTTATTCTTGCAGGAGTGAAGATGCAGAAGCCTATGAACTGCAGGATGGGGAGTTCAGCTCTGGGATCTTCATGAAATACCTGAAGAAACACATTCTGAAAGAGAAGAAGGTTACACACATGTTGGAGGATGTGTTGGAAGGTGAGGGACAAGCGAGAAACCATTCACTTCAGTAACAGGGGTGAGAAGAGAGATCAGAGACCAAGTGGCTCCACATCACCCCATCCCAGGCAGCCAGCCAACCGTTCCTCCCTAAAATCCAAATCTCAGGCTGTGCCCCATGTGAGCTCTCAGTAGCCTGGCAGCAGTATGGAGACGTTCTTGTAGGATGTGAAAGGCAGGGAGATCAATAAGGAACCTGGAGTGACCCATGTGCCTCCAACTCTTTCCCACAGACGTTGGCCGGGATCCCCTGGTCACTGGGAAGCAGGTGATGGAGATCAAACACACCCTGAAGGAAGCCCGGTCCCTGACAGACCCCATCTGTCCCTCCGGCGCAGGTGCCGAGCGCTGGGGACACAGCCACGGTGAGCCATGCAGGGCATGGGGAGGAGAGGGCTGGAGGTCCCTGTGCCCCTCAGGGACACCGGGCTGCAGGGAGATGTCGGCTGGACCCTCTGAGGAGCTGATCCCTCTTGAATTTCCCTTCCAGAGCCACTGAGCAGAACACTGACCTTCCCCTGCGGGGCCCGGGCAGAGCTCCGCTTCCTGCGGCTCTTCTCCAACCTGATGTCTGTGTGTGCAAAGCTGCAGGCCCCCCCGGCCCACGTCACTGCCCCTCGCCTCCTGCTCTGCCAGCCCCCGGTGAGTCCTCTAAGCTCCCCTTCCTGGGCTGCTTTCCCCAGGACACAGGTGGGAGCGTAGTTGGGCTGAGCCCAGGGGGTCCTGAGGGTTGGGAAAGGCTGATCCCAGGTGGAAAAGGATCCCCTCCTCTGCACACACCTCCTTGAAGCTCCTTCCACGCCTCAGTGGGTTCCCTACAGGCCACCTGCCTTGCTCCTCATGCATCACAAAACGGATTTTGCACTGGTTTGATGGCTTTAACCAGTTACTCCTCAGATTGATTTCTGTCCTGCCTGATTAAATTATTGTATTTAATCTGATTGAGGTGAAGAGCCATTCTGTTTTCCATGTTTGGAAGCAGATCTGGCTTTTTGAATCATGCATTCTTAGCCTGCTCTGCTCATATTCCATATTTCTTCCCTGTTGAGCCGTACCAGCTTCCTTGCACCCTTTCTCACACCTTTCCTAACAGACCACCTGCCCAGCATGGTCTTTCCTGGTGGTCTCCATAGTCTCCATGCCACCACTAAGGATTTAACTTGCTGCTCCTTTCTGCTAACCATCTCCCTAGTTTTCTTTAGTCCTTTTGCTGAAGTGTAGCTTGATTGTGGTGGGTTTTTCAGCCCTTGTTGCTCGTGGAGGGACACTGCTCCTCAGTACGTTGGGGTCACTGATGCAGCGTGGTGTATCCAGGAGGTTTGGAGCCTGATCCTACCTGTTCCCAAGCTGGAGCATCGTTTCCCCTTGTGAGCTCCCTAATCATGCATGAAAAACGTGTGTGTGCGTGTGTGTGAGCAGATATTTGCATGCATCCACCCCACATCAGCAGCTCAGGGTAAAGGGGCACTCAGCCGTGTGCTTCTGCCTCTGGAGCTGTCTCAAGAGGGTTGAGGAGACAAAAAAGGCACCCCAGTTCAGCAGTGGGATCCCTGTCCTTGTCCCACTGCACGGCGGTGCTGGCTCACACTGACCTCCAGTGGTGTCTGCTGAGGCGGCAGCACGTCCTCCCACCATCCTCCGACCGCACCGGCCCTGGCACCGGCCCACCTCAGACTCCCACAGAGGCCACCCCCGCACTCCTGGGACCACGGGAGTGCACAGGGATCTGCAGGAGGCTGCAGGGCTTCTGCCAGGATCCCTGTGCCAGCCCTCCCGGGGGATGCTGAGGGAGGTGGGGTTGCTGAAGTGCAGGACCAACAAAACCAGGCTGAAGGGGAGGTTGCAAGCCCTGGGGAATGATCCCAGGAAGCTGCTTCGTTGAGGAAATGATAGTTTTCCCACCACTTGCCACATTCTGCTTATCAAAGGGATTTAACTGGGTTTGCTGTGTGTTTGGCAGGGACAATTAGGATGGAATTTTCTGGCATTGATCAATTTTCTTTAGTTGTCCCATATTCCCTGCCATCCTGTGTCTTGCCTGACTTGCATTTTACCTGACAAGCACTGTCTTCAGAGGGAGAGGCTGCTGTAGCACATGTGTAGAAAGGAACAATGCTGACAGCTAGGGCATTCCCATTTTTTTTTCTCTATACTGTTTGAATCCTTACTTTTTAAAAACCTTTATGTTAGATCTCCTTGTTTTCCACTCACTTGATCTGGAGCTGTTTGACCTAATGGCCTTTCCAGTCACCCTTCCCCCCATTTATATAGAATATCTGTTTTTCTAGGCTAGCTAAAGCTCTGGCCTTGCCAATTCCTGGGCATCATCTTCGTTAAAAAATGTATTCCACCATGGGGAAAGGTTTATAAATAAGTATGAATTGGCTAAAAAAAATTAATTCAGAAAATGCTTCTCTCCATTTTCTCCTACACAGCCAGAAATGATAATGGAGAATGTGGAAGGGAATTAGTTTGTGGAACAGGAGGCTATGGAGGCTGGGAATTTAGCAGAGTGCAGATTCTTGTGGTTAATGAATTGCTGTAGCTGAGGGGCTTTGAATTTCATGTGTCAGGGTTTTAATTGATCCCTTGAGATCAGAGCTATGGAATGTTTGGGGTTGGAAGGTACCTCTAGAGATCATCCAGTCCAACCCTCCTGCTAAAGCAAACACATCAGGTCGCTCCTTTCCCAGGTGAATGTCTCAAAGTCACTAGACTGGAGAGCTGTGTTCCTGTGGGACACAGCCCTGGAGAGCTGGGGGATTTTCAAGGATCCTGATGAACAGGCAGTCAAGCAAATGCTGCAGGAGGCCTGCGTGGATGTGCTGGGGGCTCCTGCCTGAGCTCACATGTGAAAAGGAGGTGTACAAGAGGTGTCTCTCATAGAGACAGGGCTGTTTTGGCTAAGTTGGAGTAACTCAGCAAGAACTGGCAGTTCTGTAGATGGTGGGGGGCTAATTTGGCACTCGGCTCAACTCTGAGCTTCCTCCAGCTGTGCCCTTGGAAAATTTGCTCCCTCCATGACACCATGCTGGTGCTACCAGTGGTTGTGGTACCAGCTGTAGCTGCTCTTTGCTCTGCTGCAAACCCATTATACCCCAGTTTTCCCAACAGATGTACTCCAGGGATGTTTAGCTTGGTCTTCTCACTGATTGTCACAAGTTGAATGTGCAAAATCTCTGTTGCTTCCTCTCTGTAGTACTTCCTTTAGGATACACAGCATTTCCACCCTGAAAGCATGTCAATCAAAGCCCTGGGCATTGCTGTGTGCAGAGAAGCAGCACTTTTGATGGGCACTTGTGCCTCAATGCTCCATGCTGATGCTGAAATTTCCTTGCATTTCCTCTTGTTTTCTTGACCCAGGAGATGGAGGCCGTGGCCATGCAGAGGGAGAGCCGTCTGGACCATGTGGAGACTCTGCTCGCCTCCGTGTACAAGTGGGAGGAGCTGGATTGCGTCTTCCAGCTCTGTGGACTTCAGAAAATTCAGGTAGGGAGCTTCCAGGTGCTTCTCTGCTGTTCTCCTACATCCTCTCATAACTGGTGCTCCCCATCCCCGAGGCTGCAGCTGGATGTGCCCCTCTGACCACACGTCTGTGTCAGTGTCACATCCAGATTGATGTTAGAGGAGCTTGTTGATCTTCAAGGAACAAAAGCCGTCCTCTTTCACAGAGTCACAGACTGGCTTGGGTTAGGAGGGACCTTAAAGCTCATCCTGTTCCACCCCCCTGCCATGGGCAGGGACACTTTCTGCCATCCCAGGTTGCTCTAAGCCCTGTTCACACTGACCTTGAACACTTCCAGGGATGGGGCAGCCACAGCTTCTCTGGGCAACCTGTGCCAGGGCCTCACCACCCTCACAGGGAAGAATTTCATGCCAGTTTCCCATCTAACCCCGTACCCTGACAGTGGGAAACCATTCCCCCTTGGCCTGTCCCTCCATCCCTTGTCCAAAGACCCTCTCCAGCTCTCTTGGAGCCCCTTTAGGCACTGGAAGGAGCTCTAAGGTCTCCCTGGAGCCTTCTCTTCTCCAGGCTTAACACCCCCAGCTCTCCCAGCCTGGCTCCATAGGAGAGGACTGTCCTCTTTCACCTCACCTTTTCCACCTCTGCAAAACCTTTCTGATTTACACATCAGCCTGCAGAGCCTGAGCATGGATGCTCTTTGCTTTTGTTTTGTCTCCCCTGCTTGGCCCTCCCGGCAAACCTGACCCACAGCAGCTGCCCTGGGAGTGGGGAGAGGCATCACCCATCATAGCTTGCTCTGTTTTTCTTTGCTACCTGGCCAGGAGACTGTTCTTTGCTCCATCAGCCTAGGGGGGGTCAGACTTGCCCAAATATTTCACTGAAATGAAGGATGTCTTCACTAGGCTGCATTCTTGCCTGAGAGATGAGCTCATGGGCTGGCCAGGAGCTCCTGTCGTCAGAGTAACTCTTCCAAGCCTGATCCAAACTGTGCCTCTTTAACACATTTCAAAACACCCTCAAACTATTTAAAGACCATGAGAGAGGCAGAATTACCGGTCCCCTGGCTTGTCTCTCCCAGCAGTTTGCACCTTGTTTCTACTTTGATTTTTTTCTCCTCCCCAGGAAGGACAGCCAGTGGATCTTGCACTGAGTGCTGCTCTCTGCCTGGGTTGCTGCTGCCCACAGCAAGCTCCGTTTGCTGAGTACGTGACGTGCCTCAGCATATGGCAGTGCTTTCAGTCCTTGATTGTTCCTGGAGCTCTTTTCTGAACCTTTCCCAACTGTTCTGCATTGCTTTTAAGTGCAGACAGGAGACCTGGACCCTGCATTGCCTGTCAAAATCTTGTTCCATTATACATCTCCCTGCTCTATACAGCCAGGCATTTCAGGCACAGCCCCATGCTGGGGGTTTGCTTTCAGGGGTTTGGCTGCCATGGTTATTTTCTGATTTCTTCATCTTTTATAAAATTCTAAAATAGTGCTAGGCTGTGAACGGATCCCTGTGGAGTGCTGCTGCTTAAAGCTGTTGCCTTTTACAGTGTGATGTGGTTTCAGTTCTTAGCATCCCAGAATGGTTTCAGCTGGAAGGGACCTTAAAGCTCACCTCGGTCCACCCTCCTGCCACGGGCAGGGACACCTTCCACTTGAGCAGGTTCCTCCAAGCTCATTCCAACCTGGCCTTGAACACTTCCAGGGTTGGGAGTGGTTCATATCTCTCCCTTTCATGCTTTCCTCTCCCCTGGGCAATGGTCCCAGCCATGGCCAGGATGGACATGGTGCCATTCCTTGCCTTCTCTCCTGCTCCCCTGTGCCAGCATCCTGGGCGTGATGCTCACAGTGACAGTGAGCACTGGGGCTCACTGATGGGGCTGACAAGATCCCAAGTGAGGTGGTCTGATTTCAGGAGCAGTCCTGAAATCCAGAATCCATGGCTGAGGCCCACAGACGTCATGAGCTGTGTGAGTGTGTAACAGCTTGTTTTCTCTGGCAGTAGCGTTGCTCCATCACGCCACAGCATGGGGCTGTGAGCCTGCTCAACAGCCAGCCAAGGCTCTCATGTCTGGCAGCAACAGCAGGAAAGCTCTGCTTCCAGTCTGAGTCTCCGATTCACTTAGCGTCCTCCGCTCTCCCCTTCCAGACGGATGTGGTCCTGCAGTTGGATTTGCATTACACCCAGCCGAGCACAAAGCAGAGGACTTGTGAAAGCCTGCGAACGACCCTCCAGAAATCCCTGCTGGGGCAATTTTTCAGCCAGAGGAGCGACTCTCAGCCAGACTTCCAGCAAACTCCTGCCGGCAAAGGCAGTGTGTGCCTTCGGGACACACCAGACCCAAAGGGACAAGGATCCCTGAGGACAGGTTCTGGCCAGAGCTTGCCCAGCAGCAGCCCCTCCACCTTCAGCAGCGAGCCCGAGGAGAACGATGAGAGCGACCTGGGCGAGCTCTGCTCGGCGCTGCTCCGGGCTGGCCCCTGACCCTCCGCCCTGGTTTTAATTGAGGCAACAGCTCTTCAAGTGCTGAATCCTTCAGAATCCACAGCTACCTCCCGGTCTCAGCATCACCCTGTCCCAGTGAGGCCAAGGATGCTTTCCTGGAAAGGCTTCTCCCATCTGCACCCTGTGGCGTGCGGGGCCTGAAGCCCACTGGGACTACCCCCAGTCCCACGTGAGCATGGGGATCAGTGGGGAGTCACTGTAGTGTCTGCAGAGGACAGGGCCACCCGGCCAGTCATAACACTGCCAAGGCACTGCTGCAAGTCAAGGGCACTGCTGGTATTTTCTGCCCGAAAACAAACGTTGCAGCATTAAATGTGATGAGAAACCCCCAAACACTACAGCCCCAGCTCCAGTCCCAGCCGTGGCTGCTGGCTGCCATCACACCTGTGCAAGGGACACGGGGCTGCACCAAGGGGACCAGGTGAAATGGTGTGAGCTCTCCCTGGGGTAACAGTGTCGCTTTCTTCCCATGCCTGTGTCAAAGCAGATGTTAAGTTATGCATTTATGTGTTTCTGAAGAACGTATTTATAGTTGGGGTGACAGTCACTTGCCAGGAAAAGGAAGTTCCATCCAGTGTGTGTTTAGGGGGGAGGCTGGTTTTCCACCAGGAACAGCCACCAGGAGTAGCAGGTACACTGACACCTGCCCCTTCCAGCATGGTCCAAGGGGCATTAAAAGGTGTTCAGCCCTGTGCAGTCCCCAGTTCCTCTCAGGTGCAGAGTGTCCTACAGGAGAGATGGAAAATACTGGGATTGATAAAGAATAACCTCAAAAAAGTTATTATTAGTGCAAATTGTTTTTTCTAAGTGCCTATCTGTGCTGTGGGCAACCTCAAGTACTACCTTTCATGGACAACCAACTGTCCGGAGAAAGCCACAGGGTGAGCAGGGCCCAATGGACATCCTGGGTGGGCACAGTCCCCTCCCTGACTGCTACTGTAATATCTGTTTGATAAAGGTGGTTGCTCAGTAAGGGCCTGGCAGGGTGATTCAATAGTTCCACAGAGGCCAGTGACCCCAGTGAAGTGTCGGGTCTCCATCCTTGAAGGTTAGTTCACTCTGGACTGCAGAAGATGCTGGTGACCTGATCCAAGCTGGTGGGGGGCTGGACCAGAGAGCACTGGAGATCCCTTCTGGCTGTTGTGGTCCTGTGAAAGAAAGAGCTTGTAGAGCAAAACTTCTTGAGAGGTCAAGGATAGCAAAGTGGAGAGAGGGCCTGAGCTCTGTCATAGTTTAAAAGAGGGTTGGAGAGAGCATTTTCTCAGTTTTGCTCTTTTTCAGCAATGAAGATACATCCCTGTCTATGGTGTCTGTTACAGCACAGAAAAATCTGAAATGTTCCTTCCAGATAAACCATCCTACAAGTGCTGGAAACCTGTCCAAAGAGAACAGAGGAGGCTTTTATTCTCCTCACAGTGAGTAGAGCCAAGGGAAAGAAGAGGGGCCCCATCTGGCTGCAGACTAGAAAGTCTCTAAGGCAAAAATGTAAAGCTCAAAAAAATAAAAAGGATGTAGTTTAAATAAGATAGACTGATAGAGAAGCTAAACCAGAAAACAATAAACTAGTTGCAGGGAGAACCAAAGATCCACTCAACACCAGCAGCCACTGAGGACAGGTCATCAGAATGGCTCTGCAGGAATTTGGGAAGAGCTGGGGGGTCTTGTTGCCTCTGTGAGGATTATACACACCCTCCTGTACTGTTGGGACAAGACTTGTTTCTGGCTCACGTTATCATGGCAAATGTCACCTCATGTGAATGTTAATCTCATTCAAAGCCAGTCTTTCTTTTTTCTGAATAAAACACTATTGGTGTTTTTGAATGCACAAAGCTTCACGTGGTTCTGAGTTAACTGTGTTCATTTTCCCTCTAATTGCCAGGGTGTGACTCAGTGTTGACCTACTGGGGTTTTATGCTTTCAGTTCTAGCTTCTGGGCTCCTGTGTGTGAGCATTGTTTCTTTTTTTAGGTAACTGAAAGTATTGATATTTGGATTTAGAAGTTGGATCAAATTACTGGATAGGATGAAATGATGTCAAGTGAAATGTGTAGATGTAAAAAGTCGGGATTCATTGTGATTTATCCATCGCCTTTGTAAGTGTGGCTCTTGAGTGGCTGGATCAGCCTTAGTGGTCCTCCTGTCCTGGTGTCAACCACAGCACTTGTCCCTGTCCCCAGCTCTCCTATTCTTTCAATGAGACCCTGAAGCCCAAGCCCAGGGGAACTGCCACGTTCCCATGCCCCTCAGATGATGGTGTGTTATGTCTGGGAACATCAGCTGAACTGCAAAGGTAGAGTTTGATTGTGTCCTGAGCCTCTGGCCATGACAACTGGAGTCGTTGTAGGAGGAAGTGAAGCTGTGTCTGCCTTCATTCCCCGCTCACATGTGAAATCCAAACTCCCTCATGGTGGTTAAACTGTTGAGTGCCTCTAAATTTTTCTGTGAATCTGTATTTCCATCTCCCAGCATCCAGGACAGACAAGTCATCCCAGGATCACCGTGTGTCTCTTGACCACGTCCTTCCTGATCTGCAGCCTTGGGCTCCACAGCTCCCTGTGCTGGCTGGAAGGGTGGGAAGGAAGGAGCACCCAGGCAACAGCAGGTAAAGTGGGACCAAGAAATCAGCTCCAATTTACATTCCCTCTCTGCCTCCATACCTTCCACAGCCATCACCCTCCACTTCCCTCGTTTCTGGGCCAGTCTGTGCCCAGAGGCTGCAAACAGCTCAGCACTCAGAAGCATTTCTGTAGGTAATACAGGTGCTTCCCTTCACCCAAGTCTATATTTTCTTTAAGAGGCACCAAGTGAACCGAAGCTTTAAAACAATATGTGATGAAAATAGCAACAGCTAAATGTTTCATAATTTTATTTTTAGATAGGTGCCCTTCTTTTCCTCTCTGCTAGTGCAGATGTGTTGAAGGAAAGGACCTTGGACAACAGCCTGATATGCTCTCCTTCTGCTACAGAATTCATTTGGGAGGCAGTTCTCGGTTCACTTGCTGAGGTTTGGCAGTTTCTGACAAAACAAGGCAAGTGCACCCAAAAGGATTGAGAAAACAAGGCAGGGGAAATCAGGGAATCTGGGAAATGCCATTTCAGTGTGTTACTGGAAAATCATGAGCCTAGCCACAGTCAGGAGGTGTGTTACATGTGCCCTGGCAGATGCACCCAAGCCTGCCACCCTTCTGTTGGCAGCAGGTTCCTGAAGGTTTGTTCTCAGCTGGGTTTTTTGTGACCAAAGCAAGGAAAAGGTAGATTTGTCCCAGGTCAGCCCCTCTTCAGTCTCAGCCAAAGAGAGAGAGAAGAATAAAGGCAAGTCCTTTATTGAAGGAGTAATTTCTGGGAGAAAAAAATCAATATGGGGCAATGTTGAGCCATTTTACTTACAAGCTCACTTAACTCATCACCTTTTTGGAACAAATCCTTCTCTCTCACATGAGTGAATTTGAATTTACTCTTCAGAAGCTGCTAGGTTCTCCTTATTTTCCACTTAGAGATTTTCTGTGATCTACAGAACCTGCCAGATCATTTCCTACTCCACATTTCAGGGCAGAGCTCGTGGTGCTGTCAATGGGATACACCTGCAGTGGAATAGAACATACAGAGGGACAGACAGGAAAACTCTGACATTCAACAGTGCAGTTTTGGTCCTCTTTCCCTAGTTTTTGGAATTAGTTTCTTATACAGGCAGGAGAAGTCCTGGAGGTGTTGGGTGGCCATTTCTTCCCAGGGAAGAAAGGAGCTTCCCAAAGGGCAGGTTATCATGGTCTCTGGCAGTTACATTGCCTTTCATGTGGACAAAGAGTGAACAGAATGATCTCTTGCACTAGTTTGATACAGGAATTGCCTTTTTTCTGAAATGCTGAGGATTGCTTTATTAACTGAGGATCACTTCTGGAACACCAAGTACTGGCAGTCAACTTCCTGTGAGCACAACAGGACCATGCACAAGATACAAGGAGATACCAGGCTCAGGACTAGTGAGGAGGTCTGGAATCATTAAATCCAGGTGCTGCTGTCACAGACGGCCTTTATCCATCATGCTTTGCACATGGAGACACCCACGGCTGTGCTCTCCTCTCTCCTAATGCTGGCAACCATCCTGCTTCCAACAGGAGGTTGGACTGGGTCCCTCCCAACCAACGCTGCTGGGATTCTGCTACCAGAATATGCTCGAGAGAGTGTACATGTTCTCACTGATTCTGAACAGCAAACTGCGAGTTCCAAGACTCCATTTCAGTGAAATATCCCTACTCCCTGTCCAAAAAGCAAACAAGGACATTGGCTCAGCTTGGCTGGTTCCAAAATTTATGAAACTAAAAACTTATGGCAGGGCTAGAAAATAAGGGAAAGGCAGTAAAACAGTTCATTTGAAAATGTCAGGTGGTTCAGACTCCATTCTTCCAGACCTCCCCTTCAGGTGGATGGTTCACAAATGAAAACAGAAACATAGTTTTAAACAAAAGAGGTGAGTGAAGTGATCCACTGCCAAGTCAATAAACCCAAGATTATTCTAATTTAAAAGGAGCTGAACAGCACTGACCTGCACTCAGACACACTGCCCCTCTGCAGAGAGCTGGGGCACCTCTGGAAAGCAGAGGCAGGAGCAGGTCTGGTGTCTGCAGACCAGGACTTTATATTATTAATGGTGAGAAATTATTGATAGCACAGCCTCTTCATGTTGTCCCAGAGTTCTCTATCACAGATTATTTCAATGACTGTTTTGCCATTGTTACTAATCACTTGGAATTAGGTCTGTGACATCATGTGGCAGTGAAGAGAAAAACATCACCAAACAAATGAGAATCCTTGAAGCGCTTGAAGTTGCTTCTTATCTTCACAGTTTGGATAACCTTTTGCATAACAAGCAACAATTTCAAATATATTGGTCATATCACCTCCTCAAAGAGATAGAAGACACCCTTTGAAATTACAGAGCAGACTTCATCCACAGGAGAAGAGCTGACGTGGTGTCACACAGTAATGAAGAGCCAATGTCTCTTTGATAAAACTGTCTTCACAGAGTTGGATTTTCTTGCAACGGTGTCAGGAATAGTTGAAGAGACAGACGTGTTATTAAGTGGTAAAAATAAACAGATGGAAGAGACAAGTGAGAGATTTCAGCTGTGACTTTCCAAAATGTTTCAGCAAAGAATAACATCCTCATTTCCATTCCCTACCAAAGATGGTAAATAGGAGATACTTACCCACGGGCTGCATGGTCGCAGACCCTCAGCAGTAATGGGGCACCCACTGTAACACTGGACTCTTGTCCCTACCTGCCTATAGGGTGCATGAGATGGGGCAGTTTGGAGGCCTAGAGAGGGGTGCTGGTCCTGACCTGCTGCTCTTCCAGATTCAAAGTGACCACCATGGAAAGCATCGATGCCTGACCGTGTGTGTGCACTGACTGCATTTGTTCCAACTGGGCATTGTGGCCTAGTGTTGAGATCCCAGCCTTTATATCCTCCTCCTTCTCCCACTCTCCCTTTCCCTTCCACAGAGGTTTTGTCTCACCCCTTCCCACTATGGAGGATGCAGCAGTTTGGCCAGGGCTGTGCCACCACCCTGCCCAACCAGGGGAAGGAGAGAGGACAGGCAGGATGGAGATACACTCACGACAAGGAGATCGTCACTTCAGGAAAGACATTGAGGTTCTGGAATGTGTCCAGAGAAGGGAAGGGAGCTGGGGAAGGGTCTGGAGCACAAGTCTGATGAGGAGCAGGTGAGGGAGCTGGAGGGGCTCAATCTGGAGAAAAGGAGGCTCAGGAGGGACCTTCTCACTCTCTGCAATTCCCTGACAGGAGGGTGGAGCCAAGTGGGGGTCAGGCTCTGCTCCCAGGGAACAAGGGACAGGATGAGAGGAAATGGCCTCAAGTTGTGTCAGGGGAGGTTTAGATTGGGTATTAGGGAAAATATCTTCATGGAAAAGGTGAATAGGCATTGGAACAGGGTGCCCAGGGTAGTGGTGGAGTCACCATCCCTGAAAGTGTTCAAAAAATGTGTAGATCAGGCACTTGGGGATGTGCTGGCCTTGGCAGTGGTCGGTTAATGGTTGGACTCAGATTTTAGAGGGCTTTTCCAACCTTAATGATTCAGTGATTCTTTGAGGTGTTTCATCCCCTGGACTGCACTGGTTGGAACGTCAGCTCCTGCAGATGTGACACTGAAATAGGGTCAAGTGGCAGGACTGTGAGCGTGAAGGCCTTGGTATCTGGGGTCCTCACCACGGCAAGGCATGACAGAAAGTCCTCTTTTCTGTGGAGCTGATGGACAGGAGGTGTTGCTCCCAGACCTGGCTCCTGCCCAGCCCCAGACATTACTGGAAGAGCAGAGGGCAGCTTCTGCTGTGTCACCGCAGCCATCACCTGCCTGCCTCCCTTATTCTTCTGTGTCGCTTAATATCAATTATAAAATATTAAATCAGATAAATACCTTTGACCTTTCTGGATGATAAGAAAAGACATTGTTCTGCCTCCTAAAATGCCGTTGTTTTCACTAGAAAATGCTAATGGGATAATGTAAAGGTTATTTCAGCCTCCTCTCAAGTCTGGAGACGTGGCAAAACAATCACGATGCCCTTTGTTTATGCCTTTTTAATGACTGCTTTTAGCTCCAGGCATCTGAGGCCTCTGCATCTTTTCAGGTGCTCATTTAGGGAGTCTTTGGGCTGCTTTTGGGGGGAAACATCCCAGGGAATGTAAATGTGCTTGTAATATTAGGAGTTTGGAGGAGAGCTGGAGTGGTGGATATTAGGAAGGATTTCTTCCCTGAATATTCTATGACATAGGGAGATGCTCCAGGAGAAGGTGAGACATGCTA